TACGATATTAATTCTCAAAAATGTGTTTGTCAATGTACAATGGAAAACTTTCTAAAAAAAAAAAAAATACTATTTTCCAATGGAGACTCGTCCAGCTTGAGTCACTGTCTCAAAACCACGACTTATTCAGACGTAGAGAAGAATTCGTCCTCCGTAAGCCATGCGTGTCGTAGGAAGCGACTAAAATCCCGGGAGCAAGGGGTTAGTTACTCCTACTGCATAAATTACTAAATTTAAAAAGAAAAACTTTCTTTTTAGGTCCCCCTGCCTCGGTGGGATACTGCCAGTGTGTTGAAAAAAAAAATTGTGTTACATGATAAATATGGCATTTACGACTCATGTGCAGTCGATTGGCTTCAAACCTGACACAGTAACTGAGGCTGGAACGAAAACTCTGAATCTCACGAACCCGACGAACTACTAATGTATGGTTCAACCTGGTGTTACGCGTAGCCCCGGAGGAATGAGTAGCCCCAAGGAACCAGTAGCCCCTGAGGTACACGTAGCCCCAGGGGTACGCGAAGGAATTTTCAGGAACAGCACTAGTGAGTTATTATAATTTGTTGTGCTGTTATTTTTTTATCACTGATTTGCTTACTGATTTATTCAGTATTTTACAGATAAACGTGAAGTTGTTAAACACTGGGATAATCTTCTTTAATAAAACAAATGTTTCTGTGATGCATTTGTATAGAAGTACATCAGAAGTGTTTTGTTATTGTGCAGATAATTAGATGTCAGCACCATAACGGTGCCTCTCTGTCTGACTGAACTCAGTGAGCATCATAATGGTGCTTATATCTCCTACTGAGCTCAGTCAGCATCACAATGGTGTCTCTGCATCACTGAACTCAGAGAAAATATTTTATAAACTGATTATCTCTGCAGTTTATACCTTAATTAACACTTTTATTTAAATAAAATTCATTGTTTTTTCTTCATTTGAAAATAGTAATAATATTTTTCTTGGCAGGGTTATTTTTTTTTACTGTGCTACTTTTGTTAACAAGTAAAAATAGTGCACTACGTTAGCAACGTTATTAATTACAGATGGACCCCGCCGGGTTATCAACACCTCGTTACCAGTATCGGGAAGTAATACTGGAAACCCGTCTTCAATGTCAAACTTACGTTTGCGACTTTTCAAAATCACGGTGACTATGCTTGTAGGCAAACCACGAGCCGTTTTCTGTCGCAAATTGATCCTTTTTCCTATTGGAATGATGCTGTTGTACAGCGAAGTTATATAGAGCTATAATTTAGAAGAACATGTATGTCTTTAGCTAGGAATAGATTGGTAGAAAGTTATTGTTTTTCACGTATTTTTCACATCCAGGGATGCCCACTCGACACGGGCTTGGACACTACACTTCCGGGATGATATGAATTTGCGTTCATGATAAGAAAACACTGTTAAAAGATACTCACCGGATTCATTGTCGCAAAGGTATATTACCCTGAGTGTCAAGCCGAGTGCTAGGGTGGTGTTCCTTCAAATGTTGGATTACTCCTGTAGCAGCAAGGTTATGTTTGTAAACACATCCGCTCCTCTCCCCCATCCCTCCCTCTACTCACGACTCGATGCTCCGCCTCTACGCGGCAATGTATCCTGTCTGAGTGAACTGGTTGGTAATTCGAAGAGGATAATCTGTTTTTGCCACAGGAAAAACTCACTCACTGGTCACCGGGAGTCACAGGAGCCACAGGAGCCACAGGAGCCACAGGAGCCACAGGAGCCACAGGAGTCACAGGAGCCACAGGAGAAACGTTCCCCACCCAGCTATCACCTCCTGCAGATCACCAGCATATGTCTATTTTTCCCCTTGATGTCAGTGACGGGTTCGTGATTCAAGGAACTGGAGTTACCTTCACCGTCTCAGGAACAAATGTGCTCGTCTCCCCAAGCATAGGGTCGTCATTGGAAATTTTTTGTGATAGACGTTTGTAATAATAATGACAAAATTAACGACAAGATGCAAAGTATAAAAAAAAAGTAAGATCAACTAATGAAGCATTTATTACGTCCACGTTTCGGTCTACAGAAGTGAAACTTGGCCCCAGTAAATGTTTCATTAGTTGACTCAGGAAATCGTAATGACACGATTGCAAACAAATCATATCACGGGTGGGGATAGAACCCGCAAATCTTGTTGTAGCCTCCTGGGCCAGTGGCTAGCGCGTCTGTCTGGATTTTATGGCTCTCTGATTGCTGGTTCTATCTCCACCCGTGGTATGGTTTGTCTCACTAGTTGCTGACACGTACTTCACCTAAATTGAATCTTTGTGCTAAGGTTATCATGTCTTGTACTCTTAACATGTTCCCATATAAAGAGGATGCACGCATATTTTTGTCTCGTTACCTCTGATTTGCATGTGTGCTTTTAGAAGTCACTGTTTGGTAATACTAGTCTAAGGTATAATTAATACACAGTGTTTGTGCTGTTTCTTTTTTTTTCAAGTCAGTGTGTGATTATGGTAGTCTGTGGCGTATTTTACACAGTCTTGCATATTATGAAAAAACAATTGGTTGATTTACCAGTGTATGTCTTGAAAAGACACATATAAGCGTAGAGTACACTATGTATATCACGCAGATGAGTGTAAGTAGGTTATTACATTGATATGGAAGTCAATATATCAGATGTTGGTTTGTAAAACAAATATCAGCATATGTGGAAAACGGTGTTTTCCTAACTAATGACATTTCTAGAGGATACGAAATAAACATTCACGAAGGTATTGATACATATTTCAACAATTACAAATGAAATAATATACATGTATATACATATATATATGTATATATATATATATTAATATATAATAATAAATATATATATATATATATATATATATAATATATTATTTATTATTTTTATTATCACACCGCCGACTCCCACCAAGGCAGGGTGGCCCGAAAAGAAAAACTTTCACCATCATTCACTCCATCACTGTCTGCCAGAAGGGTGCTTTACACTACAGTTTTTAAAACTGCAACATTAACACCCCTCCTTCAGAGTGCAGGCACTGTACTTCCCATCTCCAGGACTCAAGTCCGGCCTGCCGGTTTCCCTGAATCCCTTCATAAATGTTACTTTGCTCACACTCCAACAGCACGTCAAGTATTAAAAACCATTTGTCTCCATTCACTCCTATCAAACACGCTCACGCATGCCTGCTGGAAGTCCAAGCCCCTCGCACACAAAACCTCCTTTACCCCCTCCCTCCAACCCTTCCTAGGCCGACCCCTACCCCGCCTTCCTTCCACTACAGACTGATACACTCTTGAAGTCATTCTGTTTCGCTCCATTCTCTCTACATGTCCGAACCACCTCAACAACCCTTCCTCAGCCCTCTGGACAACAGTTTTGGTAATCCCGCACCTCCTCCTAACTTCCAAACATACGAAAATTTCCCGCATTATATTCACACCACACATTGCCCTCAGACATGACATCTCCACTGCCTCCAGCCTTCTCCTCGCTGCAACATTCATCACCCACGCTTCACACCCATATAAGAGCGTTGGTAAAACTATACTCTCATACATTCCCCTCTTTGCCTCCAAGGACAAAGTCTTTGTCCTCCACAGACTCCTAAGTGCACCACTCACTCTTTTTCCCTCATCAATTCTATGATTCACCTCATCTTTCATAGACCCATCCGCTGACACGTCCACTCCCAAATATCTGAATACGTTCACCTCCTCCATACTCTCTCCCTCCAATCTGATATTCAATCTTTCATCACCTAATCTTTTTGTTATCCTCATAACCTTACTCTTTCCTGTATTCACCTTTAATTTTCTTCTTTTGCACACCCTACCAAATTCATCCACCAAATCTCTGCAACTTCTCTTCAGAATCTCCCAAGAGCACAGTGTCATCAGCAAAGAGCAGCTGTGACAACTCCCACTTTGTGTATATATATATATATAATATTATATATATATATAAATATATATATATATATATATATATATATTATATATATATATATATATATATATATATATACATTTATATATATATATAAATATATATTATATATATATATATATATATATATATATATATATATATATATATAATATATATAATTTAAAAAAATGCGATTAGTTTATTAAAACACTAATAAATCTTACTTTTGATAAGTATTCAACAATCATTTGCTTACTAGCATCCGCTGACAAGGTTACTAAGTTCAGTGAGTCCTGCGATTAGATATTAGATGTGCGGAAGATTGAGGACCCAGGAGCTAGAGTCTGAAATATTGGATTTTGGAGAAGCTGGAAGTGATGAGGATTGACCGCCGTGTTGCTGGAGGTCAAGTGTGAAGTATCGAAAAAAAAAATTCCGTTTAGTCGAAGATTTATATTATAATTAGTCACACTGATTGTACTACTGAACGATCATTGTCTTGCCACGATTATTTGCCTGAGAGATGTTCAATAATAACCCACATGGAGACGGAAGCTTAGAAGAATAATTGATCTATATATTACGAACCTCTTCTGGGATCCTCTTGAGCAGATACACAGGTGAAATGAGAACAAGAATATATAAAGAAAGTTGCACCTCACCCCGTACACGTGAGTAAGGGGACGTGTCAAGAAGTGGGTAAGAAGACAGGTCCTAGAACGAAGCTAAAAATTTGAGTAAGAAGTTTCTTTATGCTATGTAATTTCTGATGTGCTGGCGTTCTGTAACAGGTTGGGCGCTAGTATGTACTTCTTGAGTTATCCAGTGAGAGGAGATAATCACCGAATTATTTACCCCTCTGGCTTAAATATTCATCTCTGCTACCAGTCATAAAATGTAGGACTGACTAAAGCTGTTATAGGTTATGTCAGCAGCAGCATCAGGATCACACAGGACAGAACAGAGATTTGAGGACCTAATTATGACCTACCATAACATGTCTGGAAATAGAACCGGTTCCAGACCTGTCTGTCTCACGAGTAGAACATTAGCATATGTGGGGGTCACGTAAGATAGTGATAATAAGTTCCGTTTATTTAGTGCTTCTTTACTTTTGAGTGTTAAGCGTCATTAATTTGAACATGCATATGTCAGTAAGTTTAATTTTAAAATACCTTCTCTTCGTATATAACATGACACATATAAACTTGCAAAGATTATTTGTCTAATAAGGATCATGTGTCTTAGATATTTTTGGAGTCTCAAGGAACACAGGCAAAGATTAACCATAGAAACCACCACGCTCGTGAGAACCACTACCTTGGCCAAAACCGCTTTGACCAAAGCCACCTTGGCCAAAACCGCTCTGACCGAAACCACCTCGGCCAAAACCGCTTTGACCAAAACCACCTTGGCCAAAACCACTTTGACCAAAACCACCTTGGCCAAAACCGCTTTGACCAAAACCACCTTGGCCAAAACCGCTTTGACCAAAACCACCCTGGCCAAAGCCACCCTGGCCATAACCACCTTCGTGACTACCACGGTGGTATTCGCGACTCAATCTCTGCCCATACTGTGGATCAGCCATGGGGACAGGGTAGGCCAGGGCGTAGGGATGAGGCATGACTCTGGACGGCTCCATCAGGGTAATCACACCCACTATAACAACCAGCAGCAGCTGAAAGATAAAAAAAAAAAGCGATAAATTCACAAAAGGGCGACTGTTTAAAACTTTCTAGGACGATCTTAACACTCCAACTCCCAGCATTATATTTACTTCAGAGTGAGAGAGAAAGTCGACATCTGGCAGAATATTGATAAACTCTACGGTAATCCACCATCATGATTCACTATATGCATCCCAGTTACACATTAAGTAAATAAGTTATATACAACTCTCTCTCTCTTCTCTCTCTCTCTCTCTCTCTCTCTCTCTATCTATCTATCTATCTATCTATCTATCTATCTATCTATCTATCTATCTATCTGATCTATCTATCTATCTATCTATCTATCTGTCTATCTATCTATATATCTATCTTCAACATCGTGGCGTTCACTTAGTCACTACGCCACCACAACTTCCAATACAATTTTAAATACAACGGGATTGTTTACACTCCTCAGTAAGTGACACAGAGCTGGATGGTCTCCAGCTCCTGGTCTTCATGTACTTACTGTATGTAGTGTACACACGTGAAATATTTTCACTTATTATCCCTCCACACAGTGCTGCCTTGTCTTATTAAAGTATACAATATTATCACAGTAAACAAGTGATACCTTAATATGCAAACAACCACTTGTGAAAAAAATAGTGAAATTCCAAGCGCTTTCGTGATTTCTCACATTATCAAGGCCCTGATTTCTTACATTATCAGGTCCTTAATAATGTGGGAAATCACGAAAGTACTTGGAATTACCCCATTATTTCACAGTGGATGTTTAGCCTAGTGAAGTATGTTTCTTCCTATTCATCATACATATGCCTTTAAAAAAATTCTACAGTGTACATTTAGACAAAATATACGTAAACCTTATTTAATTACATCTTCTATAACGAACGCATTTGTAACGAACACTATTGACGGAATACTAATTTGTTTTTCACTCCTGTTGTCTTGGTAAGAGCATCGGGATCCTAAGATTTGTCTTGATACCATAACTTTGTATCTGCTTTATAAACCTTGTATCGGCTTCCTAAACTTTGAATCACACTTCAGAAATCCTTATGCGAGAGTGGAACCTGTCATCAATAAAGTTGGTTCAAGTAATTGTGATCAGTTACATTTCTTATTAATAAACTGAAACGTCATAAATGGTGTCAGGTAAATGGACACACATGCAAGTAATGTGACATTTTGTTGTGGCAACGTTTCGCTCTCCAGGGCTTGACAAAGCTCCTGGAGAGCGAAACGCTGCCACAATAAATATCACATTAGTGTCATTTACCAAACATTCTGTGGATACTTCTACCATTATTACGTCATAAATGGTGGCCATGAAACCAGGACAAATATTTTCTTGAAGCAATAATTAATAATTTACACTTACACAATTCATGGTGGTATTATAGATGCTGGAGCTTTCAGCAACACGATTATAGGTCTGTTTGGTTCCGAGGAGGAGTAGATCCTTATATACCCGAGGATGACTCCCACACATGTGGATTCCTTCTCGCGTCCAGAGGAATCTAGTTTGCTGCTCCTCATCTGATAAACATCTCAGGTCTTGTTACCACTATAGCACTCGCGTCATGCCAGCCTTAAAGAATATAATTAGAACGTGTTGCTATTGTCAATATTAATGTAACCTTTTTTTTTAAGAACCTGACATTCTGATAATAAAATATTTTTTAGAGTCGGCAGGAAAGAGTTGAGATAAAACCCAGAGGCAGAATAACTGAAATAGTCACAGGAATAGAGAACACAAGAAGAGAACAGTTCACAGGAACCGAAGGTCGTGCTGATCTCAGTTCTCCCTCAATTGCTCTCTGAGTATCTTGCTAGCTTCCATGTTTTTCTATAAACTTTTCCTGCAAACAAAAAAGGCTTTCGATTTAATATTCATCCGTTTT